TGATAAACTAGCATCTACAGCTAAGAAGAAGTTTANCTAAGAAATAATCTGAAACTGGACTTGTAATATAATACAGCAACTTTCCAATTTGGTATCAATCACAACTTTGCATAGTTGCTGCATTACATTATTAGTTCAGTATCTGATGATGTTAATTTAAATTATATAGCAAAGATAAAATTATACTAGAACTGAAATAAGAAGTTGTAATGAATGGAGAAATCAAAGAAAGGATGAGAATAGAAAAATTGAGAATTATGAACATAAAGACATTAAGCATGGAACCATATGTCTACTGATATATTAATATTTAATCTGTTTAACAGTTGATTTAATTGTTTGCAGATTGGACAGTTTTACCCCTTATAACTATTAAAATTAAATAAAGGTAATGTCCTTTGGGATAAGATGTCTTTGTCTTTAAGTCTGACTTTCATCATGGTTTTGAAGCTAGTAGACAAATCTACTGTTATTTATTACTCAGGAAAGCTGTGGTGATGGTCACAGCAGAACAATGGCAGTTATACATGGGTCATGGTATCCAAGGACGGCACATAGGTTGCCATGGAGAAGCTCATGGGAGGGGATGATTTTCCATTCCTTTTCATGCTGGATTGATTCAGGGAGCGCATTTGACTGTGCTTGTGGACACACTTTTTACACCCGTCCTGGTGACACCACGGCAGCTTTTTGAAAAAGCACTTCAGTCCGTGTCTCACTTCTCTCATCCTTATGATATATATGATAGGATCACACAGAGAGTTCAACAAAAGTAAATCGTGCAGATATTCGTTAGCTATTAAATAGGTCTCCCAGGAACTTTTGAGGGCGTTAATATTCGTGTCCACCATGATGACTAAAGCGACCTCAAAGAGACAGTACGGAATCCAGCAAACCACAAATGTTCCCAAAATGAGGAGAGTTGTGAGGAGGGCTTTCCGATTCTTCTTGTACTCTTGCTGCAGAGGTGGAGCCCTCTGGTGAATTTTTCTAACCTCACAATAGATTCGCCCATAAATGTAAAGCATGATGATGAAGCATATAAATGCAGTGGCAAACATTATATATTCAGTGTAGTAATTATTTTTGTCCACGTGCTCGCAGTAATTGTACTTGGTGTTATTTCCGGCAGCTTCTTCAAAATCTCCAAAACCCGACAGGAAGTCGGAGAACCCAAACACAGCAGATACAATCCAAAAGAACAATAACATCATTGTGATCCGCTGCCTGCTCATTAGGACTTGGTACCTCAATGGGTGCATGATGGCTAAAAAATGATCCACAGCCATCCCCAGTAGATTGAATAATGAGATGATATTAGCCATTATCATTATTCCTTTGATAAAAGAATTGATGCAGATGGACTGGAGCCGGAGGCTGTATTCAAAGCTGTAATCAGTGTAGATGGGGTTGATGATCCTGCTGATGATGTGCAGGAATATACTCAGGCTAACCAACATGTCAGCGCATCCAAGGCTAAGCACCAGACGAAGGCGTGTGGCGAACCCAGTCTCTGTTCTTATGTGCCCTATGCCAATGAGGCCAAGAACGTTCACCATGATTGTAATGAAGCTGAAAATGAGGGCAATGACTTTGTGGGGCTTTTTGAACATAAGTTCCGCCCGAATGTCCATGTTGTAGTAGTCCATTACTTCGAATACTGGTCCGTTATTGTCAAGAACAGACTGATTGTCTTCCATTGTAATGTTCATGTTGAGTTCACTTAAAGTTGTTGTGTTAAAAGAAACCATGTTGGTGCTAAAAAAAGTAATCCACGTAATAGAAAAACAGTATCTATAGTCCTGCAATGAAGGACACTTTTTTTAAAACATGCACTGTATTTTCCAAAATTTCTTGAACCCAAGACCTTAAAGCTTGAGTGTTTAGTTTGTGTTTTACACAGTCTAACTCCAAAGTTTCCTAGTTTCAAATTGATATAGTAATCACTGATGTAGCTTCTTGGGATTACAGGAAAGCATCTGTTGATGAAACTTGCTGCTCTTACATGGAGACTTCAACTGTCAATAGGAGCTTTTGATATTGATGTCTTCAACAGATTTCCCTACAAAACTTCTAGTGTTCTGCATTGAAGATGTCTGTGCAGATAACTTCCTCACTTTCTATCAGAGTGTAAATATATGCAGTGTATACATATATATATATATATATATATATATATATATATATCCTTCAGTGGAATTGTTTTTAGTGATTGTGTATTCCACAACTTCAAGTGTTATATACAGCAAAGTTTATCATCACCACCTCGTTATGTTGATGCACTTGAGGATGCCAACCACTCTAGGCTGGCGACAGACTAGCCAAGATTATTGGTAATCAGTTTCTCATTAGATATCTCCCTGGCAGCACCAGATGTGTATGCGATATCCCATTGAGTATGCCCTTTTCTGTATATTGTTCCCACCTTAGTGTGGTTTCCTGTTGGATTTACTCCCTCTTGTTTTTTTTTTTTTTTGATCTGCACTTTGGATGAGGGATCGTCTGTACTTTATCGTTTAGTTAAAATGACTGCGTTCTTCACAAAAGCTTAGGTCAGTTTTGTTTTTTTTTAAAGTTGAATTGAACCTCAATGCTGATCTGATGTATCAGATAGACTGATGAAATGTAATTTGATGCTCATTGCTAATCTGATGTATCAGATAGACTGATGAAATGGAATTTGATGTCATTGACAGTAGCCAGCACTTAGTTATGTTGTTTCATGTTTAACCAATTCTGAGTTTCAGTTAATGGATCCGTTCAACTCTGTAAGTGTTTTGAAATTTGGAATGTGGTACAGTCTTCACAGTCTTCACCTCTAATATTGTTGCCACACTTGTATTTGTAAAATGATTTTCCTTTGAACTGGACTTCTGAGATTGACTAAAGTGCGCTTTCTTTGAATTTAATCACTTTTGTTGCTGATCTTGCCTTTGCATGATGCTGGAAATAGAAGAAAATGGAATTTAGCTTCAAGTCAGGGTGTCAAGTGATCAATTAGTTTGAGTGGGTTTTAAGTAGATGGCTTGGAAACATATTGATAGGTTTTCTAAATAGAAAAGGCCTAAGGGGCAAATTATAGGTGCAAAAAACATCTTAACATGGAATCTGAGCACACTTCAAATACGGTAAGTACTGGACCTTTTCAATGGGGGGAAATTGTAAATTTACAAAAACTGAGTTTTTTTATGACATACTTTCTTAAAATTAAAACATTCTTATTGAGTAGTGGCAGCAGTATTAAAAAGCAGGCTACACTTAAGTTTTATACTTTACAGTAAAAGCACCACAAAAACTGCTGTATAGAAATATGATTTTGTGATTATAAAATTATGTGTTTAAAAGTTTGATAAGGTCAAGTCATTAAGGAACTGCTCCCTTGATCCGCAGTGAATATTTCACTATTAATTTATAACTAAGAACATTATTATTTTGATTTGGGTTAAAAGTATAATTAACTATTTTTTGGTCCTCCAGCAAATTTTCACAAGAAATAAATAAACAAAAAAAGTAAATAAATGAAAAATAACAAATGAATGTTCCTTGATATGGAAAAAGATTAATTACTAGAAGTGATGCTTGTAGATATCACTTGTCTTCCAATGTACTTGAAAATTATAGACTAAAAACAAATAAAAAAGAACATAAAACTTTTATTTTTAAAAAGTTTTATAACTAATCTAACTGGTAGACCTAACCTTGTACTACATATTTATTATCTTAATATTTTAGCTGTTTATTTATTTATTTTATTCTATTTTATCTAATTTTGTTTATTTATCCTTGTAAAGTCTACTAAACATTTTGTATGAATATTATATCTAAATAAATATATTATTGCTAGTAAGTATATTACTTCAAGCATCTTGTTTCTTCCAACCTTTTATACATTTAAAATGTTCATCATTTTCAGATACAAGTAATATTATTCTTTCTGCCATTCCCCCCATATTGCTCAAACCCGGCACACAGTCCTGGTCAGGTTTTGCACACAGAGCACTGCCTTTGGAAATACTGCTGTTCTCTAATGTTTGAATTTAGTTTTCTTAACACCGGTCTTATCATCTTGAATAAATGCTTTTATCTGCATTCCTATAATGCGTTTCATTGTTTTGGTTTTTTCCTCTACCTCTTTTAATAAATAAATAAATAAATAAAATAAAATATGTGACTATCTAGTAACTGTTACATGTACTTACTGACAGAAAATGTATCCTAATTGCATCTCATCATTTGCCTCCATCATAGACTTGAAGAACTGAACGCAATAAACAGGCACATGGCTTTTTATACACAGTAGCAACTGTGTGCATATTTTATTTAACAAATGGCACTGACGTCACATTTACTGGAAAGGAGGGCATACTCTTGAAAGTAGGTGCAATGTTCTTGAAAGCGTCTTTTTATTTCGTTTTATAATAACAACTGTTGCATGCANTTAACTGTATTGTATCATCATTTGTATATCATATTGTACAAGGTCATGACAATCTATGTACCAGTACAGAAATAAATTGAAAATTGAATTGATGAAACTTGCTGCTCTTACATGGAGACTTCAACTGTCAACAGGAGCTTTTGATATTGATGTCTTCAACAGATTTCCCTACAAAACTTCTAGTGTTCTGCATTGAAGATGTCTGTGCAGATAACTTCCTCACTTTCTATCAGAGTGTAAATATATGCAGTGTATACATATATGTATATATATATATTATAAATATATCCTTCAGTGGAATTGTTTTTAGTGATTGTGCATTCCACAACTTCAAGTGTTATATACAGCAAAGTTTATCATCACCACCTCGTTATGTTGATGCACTTGAGGATGCCAACCACTCTAGGCTGGCGACAGACTAGCCAAGATTATTGGTAATCAGTTTCTCATTAGATATCTCCCTGGCAGCACCAGATGTGTATGCGATATCCCATTGAGTATGCCCTTTTCTGTATATTGTTCCCACCTTTGTGTGGTTTCCTGTTGGATTTACTCCCTCCTGTTTTTTTTTTGATCTGCACTTTGGATGAGGGATCGTCTGTACTTTATCGTTTAGTTAAAATGACTGCGTTCTTCACAAAAGCTTAGGTCAGTTTTGTTTTTTTTTTTTAAAGTTGAATTGAACCTCATTGCTGATCTGATGTAACAGATAGACTGATGAAATGTAATTTGATGTCAGTGACAGTAGCCAGCACTTAGTTATGTTGTTTCATGTTTAACCAATTCTGAGTTTCAGTTAATGGATCCGTTCAACTCTGTAAGTGTTTTGAAATTTGGAATGTGGTACAGTCTTCACAGTCTTCACCTCTAATATTGTTGCCACACTTGTATTTGTAAAATGATTTTCCTTTGAACTGGACTTCTGAGATTGACTAAAGTGCGCTTTCTTTGAATTTAATCACTTTTGTTGCTGATCTTGCCTTTGCATGATGCTGGAAATAGAAGAAAATGGAATTTAGCTTCAAGTCAGGGTGTCAAGTGATCAATTAGTTTGAGTGGGTTTTAAGTAGATGGCTTGGAAACATATTGATAGGTTTTCTAAATAGAAAAGGCCTAAGGGGCAAATTATAGGTGCAAAAAAACATCTTAACATGGAATCTGAGCACACTTCAAATATGGTAAGTACTGGACCTTTTCAATGGGGGGAAATAGTAAATTTACAAAAACTGAGTTTTTTTATGACATACTTTCTTAAAATTAAAACATTCTTATTGAGTAGTGGCAGCAGCATTAAAAAGCAGGCTACACTTAAGTTTTATACTTTACAGTAAAAGCACCACAAAAACTGCTGTATAGAAATATGATTTTGTGATTATAAAATTATGTGTTTAAAAGTTTGATAAGGCCAAGTCATTAAGGAACTGCTCCCTTGATCCGCAGTGAATATTTCACTATTAATTTATAACTAAGAACATTATTATTTTGATTTGGGTTAAAAGTATAATTAATTATTTTTTGGTCCTCCAGCAAATTTTCACAAGAAATAAATAAACGAAAAAAGTAAATAAATGAAAAATAACAAATGAATGTTCCTTGATATGGAAAAAGATTAATTACTAGAAGTGATGCTTGTAGATATCACTTGTCTTCCAATGTACTTGAAAATTATAGACTAAAAACAAATAAAAAAGAACATAAAACTTTTATTTTTAAAAAAGTTTTATAACTAATCTAACTGGTAGACCTAACCTTGTACTACATATTTATTATCTTAATATTTTAGCTGTTTATTTATTTATTTTATTTTATTTTATCTAATTTTGTTTATTTATCCTTTTTAAGTCTACTGAACATTTTGTATGAATAATATATCTAAATAAATATATTATTGCTAATAAGTATATTACTTCAAGCATCTTGTTTCTTCCCACATTTTATACATTAAAAATGTTCATCATTTTCAGTTACAAGTAATATTATTCTTTCTGCCATTCCCCCCATATTGCTCAAACCCGGCACACAGTCCTGGTCAGGTTTTGCACACAGAGCCTTTGGAAATACTGCTGTTCTCTAATGTTTGAATTTAGTTTTCTTAACACCGGTCTCATCATCTTAAATAAATGCTTTTATCTGCATTCTTATAATGCGTTTCTTTGTTTTGGTTTTCTCCTCTACCTCTTTTAATAAATAAATAAATAAATAAATAAATAAATAGAAAATAAATGAGAATAAATAAATAAAATAAAATATGTGACTATCTAGTAACTGTTACATGTACATGTACTTACTGACAGAAAATGTATCCTAATTGCATCTCATCATTTGCCTCCATCATAGACTTGAAGAACTGAACACAATAAACGGGCACATGGCTTTTTATACACAGTAGCAACTGTGTGCATATTTTATTTAACAAATGGCACTGACGTCACATTTACTGGAAAGGAGGGCATACTCTTGAAAGTAGGTGCAACGTTCTTGAAAGCGTCTTTTTTATTTCGTTTTATATTAACAACTGTTGCATGTACATGTACTTACTGACGGAAAATGCATCCTAATTGTATCTCGTTATTTGTTCCTTGATCACAGACTGGAAGCAATAAACAGGTAAGTGGCTGTGATTTTTTTTAGCGAATGATACTGACGTCATGTTTCCTGGAAAAGAGGACATACTCGTGAAAGTAGGCGCAACAATGCTTGAAAGTGGTTTTTATATTTCATTTAGTAACTGTTGCATGTACACATGTACCTACTGACAGAAACTGCATTATATATAATCCTAAATAATAATTGCATGACTTGATCATAGACTAGAACTGAGCGTAATAAAACAGGCACATGGGTTTTTATACATAGTTGCAACTGTGTGCACAATTCTTGTAGCAAATGACACTGATGACATTTTGGACTATAAACGGAATCAGAGCTTTAAATGAAAGGTCTGGCAGGTTGTATTTTGAGTACTAGACATATAGTCTGTTTACTTCGTGTGAGACTGTATAGGTGTTCTCTTTGAAGATGAGTTGTAGTCACTTATAATTAGTCATAGGCAGGCTTTACAAAAGAACAATAAATTGAAAGTTGTTCTAAATGTTTATATTAAAAGATGATTGGTCTACTGCAATTTTGGGTGAAAATGTTGTAGTGTTCTTCTAAAACAAAGCTGTTATAAAGTTAGCTTTTTTATTTTTATCATATAAAAAATTAGGTGCAGAATTTCATACAAGTTTAATGACAGATTTATCTTGGATAAAAGTAACCTACTAGTAATAATTTTAACCTTAAAGTTAAGTCAACTTTTAAGCCTAAATTCTTCAGCCAGTGATTTCAGATTTGGAGGAATGGGGGGAGTGCTGAAAAGGTGGACTTTTTACCTTGAAACCTTTGTTTTATTACCTAGAACAATTTTTAAGTTTTTTAACCCCCCCTCCACCCCCCCCCACCCCCAGCTACAGACCTGTTAAAACATAAGTCAGAATAGTTGTTTGATATGAGCAGATCCTTTGCAGCAAACAGTGAATACATGTGGCATGTGGAATTATCTTCCTCAGCATTTCTTTGATTCAAAAACCATTGATTTTATTAGCATGTTGCCTTTGAGCATGTTTTTTGTCTTCCTTCCAGTACTTGTGCTATCCTCTGTGAAAAAAATATTGATTTTAAGTAAAACAATTTACAGTTGATTCAAAATGTTATCCCGAAGCTTAATGTGGTTTGGTCTTTAGATGCAGAAGTAAATTAAATGTCATCTTTTAATTAGCTATTGTGTTATTTCAACCTAATAGTATCTTGCTTTTTACCCCAGAGATATTCCAGTAATTATTTTAAAGCTTTTAAGAATATAAACTAGGACATCTTGAAATTGTGCTGCACTGCAGTAACAGAACAGCTGTTATGTATCTATTTTTTTCCAAAAAGTATGCAAAGCCCTTTTGCATCTAATTCTAGTTTATTACTCATCAATTTAGAGTTTTTAAAATAAAATTTTAATATTTTACAAAGTAAATAGTCATTTAGATAGGTAGCATATGTGAAATGAAATGCATGCAGTGAGTGACTGTTTAAAGTGATCAGGAAACCCTTTTTGTGCATCTATTTGAGAACAATTCTTAAGATTACCTATAGTTGAATGCATTTCAGAATCAGTGTAATCAAAAGACTAAAATGTTCACCGTTTTTATGAAATATTTTCCTATGTCTTAAGTATGAACAGTAAATAAATTGATTGCTTAAAATTATCCACACTTTATCTGATGTCAAATGACTCAAAGTCTTCTAAATGGCCTAATGACGCGTCTTTTGATTAGATGTTAACAATGACATCCATTTGGCATGCGGTATAAAAAATGGAATGAGCAATTACTCCATCACAATTTTATTCTGTGTCCTGAAAAACACTCCATTTAATAAATAACTTATTATTATATATAAAATGAATGGCACATTCATGCAACTTAAAGGCAGACAAACCATGCAGGACACGCTAGTTTGATGAATCCTTGTTATAAGCAAGCTGGACCAGTTGTTGGTTTAGTGTGAGTCTTGCACAGCAATTCATCAGGGGAAATTGAACAGCCTGTAATCTTTTTGTCCAGTTTATTGGATTAATTCATTCATTTATGATTAGCTACTGGGCAACTTAAAATGAGAAAGGAAGTGTTCTAAAGGTTATTTAACTGGATAGGATATGAATGTTTTTTGTATGTTACTTCCATTATTTAATCAAACTTGTTTTTATACCTTTTTACTTTAAATTTGATTTAGAAAGTAAGTTTCAACTAAGAAGGTGTTGTAGCCTTGCTTCCAATGTCTAACTTGCAGTTAAGGTGGGGGATTGCTTTGCCAAATATTGTGAATTATTTCCCTCTAATTAATGTTTACATAATTTTCATTTATCCCATGCCTCATGCTTTAAAGTAGTTATTTTTTCTAAAAAGTTGGAATTTTTTGCTTTTTGGTGCTGCTTAAGTTGTGGGAAATAGTTTTATTCTACACAAGCTGAACAGACAGCTTCACATGGGTTCTGCTACTTGTATAATAGGCTTCAATGTGGAGTTTCTCCCTGTTCAAATTTGGGAAGGTACGGTAACCACAAGAGTAAATCAGTTCTGTTAATTTAAAAGTTATCCTTTTGGGGATTTTTGCATCAATTTGAAATCTAATTTTCCCATGGAAAAAAAAATTCTTCCACTTATGTCCCTGCACTTGGATTTAATGGTTCATGAATGATGTAGTAGCTCTAAATGCCTACTAGTAACCAGATGTTTAAACCTCCAAGCCTTCCTGTACATATCTGAAGGAAATGAAGACAACAGATACTTATATTTGAAGAGTTGTCTTGTTATTTTGAGATCTAAATTGGAAAGATCAGTAGCATTGCAGTATAAGTAGACATACAAATATGGCTTTGGACATATTTAGATGTATAAAGTATAAAACCTTCCATCATGAACATGTGGAGAAAAAAAAAAGAAGATATTTATGATACTGAATGATTATAAGACTTCTGTTCTAGAGATGAGACCCTTAAAAGATAAAAAAAAGACATTAATGAAAGGGCAAATTCCACATATCTTGTTGATAAATTAAAAATAAATTGTATTTTAAGGTAAGTTTAATCCACTTCACTTTCTGCTAGTAAGGCAAGTTAATTGAATTTGCCACAAGGAGAGGGGTTGGGGGGGGGGGGNACTCTCAAGTAGCACTCTGGTGTCATTACCAAGTTATTGAGTTGTCCCTCTCTCAAAATAGACCAGTCTTATTAAGAGGTATGCCTAGTATTAGTGGTTTAAAATTGTAGATACTTCTCATGCTCCCCCTACCCCCTCTGAAATGGTCAACATGATAGGCAGTGGTTGATTGTTTATTTCGTATAACCCAAATACTTGTAGTGAGACCATTTTCTGGGCAGAGTTAGCCTTGTGACACTTTTATTGAAGCCCTAGTGAACACGATCATATTGAATGAAGATAAAGTGTCAGTGGAAATGGCGCAATCTCGGCCAGGAAATTACTGTGGGACATCAGACTAACGTTAAACAAATCTGTTCATTCATCATTCCAGATCTCATAACATTTCAGTTACAGCCCAGTTGTAATGGCTTATCTTAGTACCACACTGGATGGTACTGTAAGGGTACTGCAATTGGGGGCGTCTCTATAGTCCGAGGTTCATTGGTCCGAAAAATGGTAACATTTTCTTCAGTTTTTTTTTCAAGGGTTCGTTGATCCAAAGGTTCTATAGTAAACATTCGGACCAGTGATCCTTCGGACTATTGAATCTTCGGACTATTGCTGCAGCCCCCTGCAATCATAGCAGAATGATCTGCGGACTAACTGATCGGCTGACTGAATATGGCTGACCAAGCTAAAAAGCAAGCTGCTTTAATTCTCTGATGGTTTCTCTGCCTCCACATGCACCATTAAAGGGATGAAATCTTGGCTCTGATGTTTTATTGCTAGGGGCCTGGAGCAAGAGTGTGTGTGGAGGTCGGGAAACCATCAGGGGATTAGCGGTATCGCTTTTTGGTGGGTCGGCCATATTTAGTTCATGGATCTGTTAATCCATGAATCAAATTTATTCTGAATGTGCTGTAAGGGTTTATTATCATCCAGATAACAAAAATGGGGTTTTTCTTTCATCTGTTTATTCAACTAGACCCGTGCACCGACAAAGTCCAAAATTTACGTGNGGACCAGTCTTATTAAGAGGTATGCCTAGTATTAGTGGTTTGTAATTGTAGATACTTCTCATGCTCCCCCCCCCCCTCTGAAATGGTCAACATGATAGGCAGTGGTTGATTGTTTATTTAGTATAACCCAAATACTTGTAGTGAGACCATTTTCTGGGCAGAGTTAGCCTTGCAACATTTTTATTGAAGCCCTAGTGAACACGGTCATATTGAATGAAGATAAAGTGTCAGTGGAAATGGCCCAATCTCGGCCAGGAAATTACTGTGGGACATCAGACTAACGTTAAACAAATCTGTTCATTCATCATTCCAGATCTCATAACATTTCAGTTACAGCCCAGTTGTAATGGCTTATTTTAGTACCACACTCGAGGGTACTGTAAGGGTACTGCAATTGGGGGCGTCTCTATAGTCCGAAGGTCCAAAAAATGGTAACATTTTCTTCATTTTTTTTTCAAGGGTTCATTGATGACAAGGTTCTATAGTGAACATTCAGACCAGCGATCCTTCAGACTATTGAACCTTTGGACTATTGCTGAGGCCCCCTGCAATCACAGCAGAATGATCTGCAGACTAACTGATCTGCTGACTGAATATGGCCGACCCAGCTTAAAAGCAAACTGCTTAATTCCTTGATGGTTTCCCTACTTCCACATATACCATTAAAGGGATTAAATCTTGGATCTGAAGTTTTAGGCGCCTGGAGCAAGAGTGCGTGTGGAGGTCGGGAAACCATCAGGGGATTAGCAGTATCGCTTTTTGGTGGGTCAGCCATATTTAGTCCATGGATCTGTTAATCCATGAATCAAATTTATTCTGAATGTGCTGTAAGGGTTTATTATCATCCAGATAACAAAAATGGGGTTTTTCTTTCATCTGTTTATTCAACTAGACCCGTGCACTGACAAAGTCCAAAATTTACGTGGATTGAGTTGAGATTATATCTGATCTACTTCCAAGAGAT